CAAAGCCATGCTCATCACAACTGGCCCAGGCTGTGGAGCTGGCGCTGGCATTGTGCACAAAGTCTAGGAATTCCCATCTGCTGCCCCAAATCCTCCCCCCAAACCCTGCAGGCCATGACAGCAGCAGATAAGCTTCTTTACTCCTGCTTTATCATGTTTTTTCCAGACAGGATCCCAAAGTCATGGAGTTTCTGGCCTGGTCTTGGAGTGGTGGCATGCTGAGGGTGCACGGTTTTCCCAAACTAGCTCTGTTTTTGCTCTTCAGTTGTGGATAAGGAGCAGGCTCCCATGATAAAATGCACTGGCCAAGGTGTCCTCAAGTGTTTGTCCACGGCTGGACCTCTCTGTGTGCAGCAGGGTGGGGTCAGCACCTTTCAACTCCTAAAAGGTGTATGATGAGCAGCTGGGAAATCCCCTGGGACTGTGCAGGGAGGGGCAGGTTTTATGGAGGATGTGGTTGTTTGGACCAGCACTGCTCACGGTGGAGCAAGGCTGAGCCATCCTGAGGTGAGCTGTGTGCACATGGAGAGGAGAAGCAGAGGAAGAGTCAGAGGAGGATGCTGGGGAGTGACATTCCCTCGGGACCATGCTGAAACAAGCTCTAATGGGTGAAATTAAGCTGAGTAGAATGGGAAAATTTCCTAAGATATGTTTGAGCCTCCCGAGGGACACGGTGCTATCCCAGCAGCACGGTCCCCAGGGCAAACACAGGGGAGCAAAGGGTGGGAGCAAAGCTGGCAATGGGGCTGTGACCCTGCTGTGGGGCAGTGCCTGGGTTTGCAGTGAGCCCTGTGGCACCAGTGCTGGGATGCGACGGGGGACGCTGCCAGTGTCCGTGTTGTGGCTGGGGCTGGAATCCAGCTGGAAGCTGGACGGAGCAGTCCTTCATTAGCAAAATCTGCAGAGTTTCACTGGCTACAAGTGGCATTTCATTTTGTCAACTGGCAGAAATACAAATGTCTATTTTTCCTCCCTGTGCTAGCCATTCTGGGGAGAAATGGCTCACCTGCTCCATGGCTTTGCATGGAACAGATTATTGTTCCTGACTGATGGTTTCTCAGGCCCAATCTTGCTTTTTCTTTTCTTTCCTGGGTGAGTGAGTGGTGCTGAGCTGAGAGAGCAAGACCTGCTGGGCCTATGGAGAACTGCTTCACATCCCTGCATGGCAATGGCCAATTCTTGCCCCCATTAGCACTTTCTGGTCCCCAGGACCTCACTCGTAGTGCCAGAAAAGCACCACAATCAAAAGACCTCAGCTGCTGTGCTCCTCCTGCCACCAGCTGGGCTCCTTCCCTGCCTCCTGGTCTTGCTGAAACACAGCCAGAAACCAGAGGTGTGCAGGGATGTGCATTCCTGTTTCCAGATAAATCCATGGCAGTGCCACAGCTCACTGCTCCTCCTGCCCTCGGGTCAACCTCCCTGGGCACTTTTGGTTGTGCTCCCTCTGTGCTGACACAGCCCTCGAGATGCTCTGGACATGGAGCAGGGGTTCTGAGCATCCCTCTCTCCATCATCCAACTGCTCCTGGACATCCTTGACTGCTCTCCCTGGTAACACAAATACCTTTTCTTCTGCACTGGGCCATCACCCCAGCTTTCTCCCCTGCCACAGCCTCCGTGAGCACTCCAGGGGCGAGAGCGGTGCCCACAAAGCCATCCTCCCCTCCGTGTGCCGCATCCCCTGGCCCGCTCTCTTCCCAAATCCCACCAGGACTTGGCCCTCTGCATCCCTTTGCCGGCCAACAGCGTGGCCTGGCAGAGCTGGCATCCCGGAGCAGATGGCCACAGCCGAGCAGACCCCTGCCCACGGCCGGGAGCTCGGGGGGCTGCTGGGCCGGGGATATGGGAGCCAGCTCGGCCGGAGCGCCAGGGCGAGGCGTGGCCGTGGCAAAGCTCACGGCTATTTTTAACCTGCATGGATGAGGGTTGATTTCCTGAGCTGACACGTGTGGCTCCCACTGCCCAGTGGATGGGGGGATATGTTTTGGGTCATCAGATGGCAACCCTGAGCCTGCAAATGGGGTTTTTTTAGGAGCTGAAGTGGGAAGGGAGCGGGAGACAGGAGCTGGTATTCCGTGGGGATGTGTCGTGGTCTGGTGTGGCTTGAGTTCTGCGTGTTTTGCTGGGGTGGGTGCTGCATCCATCAGCCTTGGGGCTTTCTCAGCTTCTATTTCCAAGCCCCAGTTATCACACCGGGGCCAGCGATGGGGCTCCAAGCCTATTTCCCCCAGCACCCCACCTTCCTCCTGCTGCAAAACCCATTGGAGCAAACGGGTGAGATGCCCATGGATGCACACCCCTGCCCTGCGGGATTTATGAACAACTCTGCACCTTTTGGGGCTCAGCAAACCCAGTTTGCTTGCAATCCCACCCTCTCCAGCTGCTAGGTTTTTGGAAGGGCTGGAGGACGGTGGGCTGCGTCCCCAGGGTGTGGTGGCACCTCGAAGGAGCAGCCCGATGCCATCAGGAGCATGGGTGACTTAGCACGTTTCCTCATCCCTGCGCCTCCCCCTCGGCCTCCTCCTCCTCCTCTGGGAGCCCTGGCATTAATGCAGCGGGAGTGGGGGATTTATGGAGGCAGCCCTCCAATCGGGCCATCCATCTTGATTAAATTAGCCCTAATGGCTCGGGCCTGTCTCGCTCACGGCCCTGCGCAGCCGCGCTGCGGGCACCGCCAGGGGCTCGACCCCGCCGGCTGCACCCTCCTGTCACCCCCTCATCCTCCTTCCCTCCCTTGGACAATTCCCAAAAGAGTGGCCACACCTGGCTTAGGGCAGGGGGAGGTTGGATCCCAGCTGGAGCTGTTCCCTGGCTGGCAGCCCAGGGGACATGGGGGTCCCCAGGGCTGCGGTCCTGCACGGACAGAAGGGCACAATGAGCTTCTCCCCAGCCCTGATGGGAAAATGTGGGGAGCTTCTCCCCAAAAGCAGAGGGAATCTGGGGTTTACCGGGATGGAAGTCCCAGGCTGTTAATTTGCATTTCCTGTAGCAAACATGGGAGAGAGGGATAAGGCACCAGCGTGGGCAGGTGATGGGAACACCAGCCTGGCCAGTTGTGGCAGACCAGCTCCACCCAACCCTCCCATCCAGCCCCAGTTGTGGAACGGGGACCCTGAAGCTGCTCCCCTCACCCCAGTGGGTGCCCCTGGCCCATGGCCAGTCTCCCACCCCAGCTCTGCAGACAATCTTTTAATCTATTTTTGAAGGGAGTGTCAGGAACTTTGTTCTGGCACCTCTGGCTGGGCATCGGGGCAGGGAGGTATTTGGGAAGCTTTCCATGGGCTTGGTGGGGTGATAGGAGAGGAGGAGCAGGCTGGCACAGACAGAAAGGAGAAGTGTTTTGGGGTCAGGTTGTCCCTGGGTGGTCTTGCACAAGACCACCATGCCCAGTGTGTAAGCTGGGGTCCCCTCTGACCTGCAAATCCCCAATCCTTGCTGCTAACTGAGCATCCTTCAGGGCTGCAAGGCCCTGCAGTGCTTTTCATCCTGGGATTTTGGTGTTGTTTAAAATTCAGTGTGTCTGAGGTTTGTGGACTGGGGTGAGACCAGACGAGCCAATGTGGAGAGGGGACTGGAGGCAGCACTGGGAGCAGTGCCCTGAGGTGCTCTGGTGTCTGGGCTGCTTGGGAGCAGTGAGGGAACAATGCTCCATCCTGGGAGAGGATGGGAGCTGGGCACCAGGAGAATCACTGCTCCAGGATGCTGTCGAAGGGGAGAAGGAGGAATTGCTGTTCCAAACTTGTGGTGGGAAGCATGGAAAAGTGAGGGAGAGGCTGCCAAAGGGCAGGGGAGGAGGTGGCCTCGTCATGCGCCGTGTTCTGTGGGGCTTTATGTTTTCTCTGTGACCTGCCAGCTCGTGACAGCCACGCTGAGCAGCACCGAGGCTGGAGGTCTCCTGGCTGTGATTTTTTTTTTTTTTTTTTTTTTTTGAACAAAGCCTGTGAATCCCCAAAAAAGGAGCAGGCAGCAGCCCTGGGATCTCGCGGGTGACCGAGTGTGGAGGAAGTGTAGCAAAAATTACAGACGGTGGCTGGTTTGCATCTCCCTCTGGCTGGGAGCCAGCCGAGGTTGTGAGCCCACTGCAGCATCCCTGTGCCTCCCGCTCCCCTCCGCGGGGGAAAGACGCTGCCAGAGCAAGGTTTCACTTTGACCCTCTCCAAAAAGGCCTGGCTATTATAAGGATAGTGTCACCTGGAGAACACCCAAAGCCTCCCAAATGGCTTAAAACAATGCTCACCACCAAAGAAACAAACTTGGACTCCAGTCAACCTTTTTTAAAAAAAAAATAAAAATAATCCCCGCCTGCAATAAAAAGAAGCGGCTCCAATTCTCAGCCCTCCCTCTGCCCCCCGTCTCCTCTCCACACACGCAGCCCCCTGGCCCTTAAACCAGCCCAAAGTGAAGCCTTCAGGGACGCTGTCCCACCATTGATTTTTCATGGAAGGTGTTCGGGAGGAGGCTGATGGACTGCGGGGCTGCCCCCCGACCGCAGCCCCGGCGCGGGGAGCTGGGATGGATCCATGGGGAAAGGGCTGTTGCTTCCCGGTGCTTCCCAGGGCCGGGCTAGAAAAAGCAAGCGGAAGCCATCAAGGTAGAGGAGAGGAAGCGAGGAAGAAGAAGAAGGAGAAGGAGAAGAAGAAGAAGAAGGCCCGAAGGGCTGGGGCGCAGCAGCCATTAGGAAAGTGCTGATGCAGAGGTTCCCTCGTGTCTACGGGCAGAGTTGGAGGAGTTGCTGTTCGCGGACAAAGGCAGCAGGAGGGAGTGGAGCTTTGTGGAAGCCGGAGCTTGTCTCACTGGGTGTCTGTGTTTCATTCCCTGTCAAAAGCCTGGGAGCTGGTGGAGGGGGGGGGGAAAGCAGGGAAGCGGCGAGCTGCAGCGCTCGCTCAGGATCAGATAGCAAGAAAACCAATAGCGGCGAGAAAGAAAAAAAAAAAAACAAAAGCGGCGAAAAAAAAAAAAAAAAAAAAAAAAATAGAAAACCAACCCACATCAACCAACCAACCCACCCACCCTCCACGCTGAGGCTGGAACAGGCAGGTCCCTGCCAACTCCACAGCACGCAGCAAGCAGGGAAGAAGGGAAGAAGTCCACCCTCCCTGGGCAGGAGCGGAGTTGAGCCCAAAGGATATTTGATGACACTTTGGCAACGATGGGTCCCCCAGCATCTTCCAGAGCCCATTTGAGGGTGAAGGCTCCGAAAGCGCAGAGGGAGTTTGAAGCTAAATTCACCTGAGTCTGGATCTCTTGGTCGCTGGGATTTATCTATTTTTCTTTTTTTTCTCCACGAGGAAACCGAACCAAGAAAAAAAGCGTGCTTGCCTTTTTTTTTTTTTTTTTTTAATCTCCCTAATTTTTTTTTTTTTAATTCTTTATTTTTTTTCTTTTGGAAGAAGATTTTTTTTTTTTTTCCCCCTGTGGTTGGAATGGAGGGGTTGGGTCTGTGCCTAAGAAGCAGCAGCCGAACGTCGGTCCTGGGAGAAACCCGAGTGGATGTGGGGTGCCCTGCCAGCTAACTCTGCAGGAGCTGCAGCCCCACGGCCGGAGGGGCTGGATGCGGTGAGAGGTAAGTGCCGGCTCCGGTGCCTGCCGACCACGGCTCCTCCGCTCCTCCAGCTCCGTCTTAATCCCAAGTCAGAGGCAAAAACAGCAGTCTCATAGTGAGTCAATCACTTCCACCTATTGCAGCCCTAATGGAGAAATAAGACGGGGAAGTTTTGCAGCGGCATCTCCACGGGGAAAGTTCCCCCTCACCCCTGTGCCCCCAAATGCCAGCTTAGGGGGGGATGTTTTGCCGAGCGGCATCGCCGTGCCAGTGCCACGGGCCCCCTCCCTGCCCAGCCAGCACTCAGGGTATCGCTGCTGCTTTTTTGGGTTCCTCTCTGTGCTCCTGCTCCCTCCTGCTCGCTTCCCCCGGCCAGCTCGCTTCCTCACCCAAAACTTTTGCACAGCGGTTGTTTTGGGCGATGCCCACGCGGGGTTATGCCCCTCGGTGCCCACACAGGGACGTTCACATGTCGGTGTGACACACACACACACACACACACACACACAGAGCCTTACCCCTCCAATCCCCAACTCCCCGGGCCTCGCCGGCGGAGACACGCTTGGGGTGAGCTGCAGGGCTGGGGGGACTTGGAAGGCAAACTGCAAAGCGCAGGGAAAAAGCCGAGCACGGCAGCAGCAGCAGCAGCAGCAGCAGCAGCAGCAGCAGCAGCAGCATAATTGCATCACTGTAATAGTATCGGCGCTGAGCACGAGCCAGGCGAGTAAAATTGTCCAGAAAATGAGCTGTACTAAAGTGCCTCCAGTTAGCAGCACCTGCACGCCTTCACTGGGTGCTTGAGGCCGTTTGTATTTTTAGAAGTCTCTCTTAATTATAGAGCAAAGAGTGTGAGAGGGAAAATGGTGTGTATTTAGCAGCATTCCCGGACAGTTTTGCAGTGAATATGAGCACAAAATCACCAAATAGGGTTTATTTTCTTCCCCCCCACCCTTGCACTTGTGATTTTGAACCACCTGTTTTGCTGTGGTGTCAGCAAACGAGGGCTGGGTTCGTTTCTTTCCTGTTCTTAGAAAGCGTGGCGTGACTTTGCCCGTGAAAAAGATGGGAAGCGGTCCTGCTGCCTTCCCTCTGCACCCCAAACCAGCCCCAGTTTCTGAGATCTTCCCATTCCCATCCCAGGGGTGACACTGCTGGGGACAGGGGACTCACATGTCGGTGCCAGATCTTCTGCAAGCAGCAAAGAGCTGGGGATGTTTTACAGGTCACTGTGAAAAGAAATCCACAACAAGCCCTGCAACAACTCATTTTGTTTCTACAAACCTTCTTCCCCGATCCCCTTCTCTGCAAAACTTTCCAGGGCCTTTTGTTTGGAACAGCAGGTGAAATTCCCTTTGATTGAGCACAAAGCAATGAAGCTACCAGAAAATAATGAAAACAAAACCTAAAAAAAAAGAAAAAATATCCTTGCTTGCTCTTTTCAGGCCTAGAATAACAGTCAGTGTTCCCATCCATGCCAGATAAGCTTAATAAAGCTCTGGCTTTGCTGGGGAAGGCACCGTAAAGGCCACTTTACTTCTTGCCTCTGATCCAAAACACACTTTGAAATCCTGTGTTGCCTCTGCTGCTCTTTACCCAAAAGAGTTGCTTTGCCTGTGAAGTCAACGTAGTTTTTTTTCCTTAGCGCTGGAATGACCAGGGGGATTATGGCGATTCCCCTGGGACCAGCTGGGGTGGGATTTTGGCGTCGCCCCACTCTGGTGCCGTGGTGCTCTGTAGATCCTGGTGGTGCTCACGGTGGGGTTCTCCCCTGTCCCTGCAGCAGAAACCGCTCCCGCTGCGGAGAAACTTCGGAGGAGCTGCCGGGGGAACCGCACCGCGAGCTGGAACCTGGCATTGCCACCCGAGTCCTGCTGGCTTTTGGGGGCTTCTAGGGTGGGAATGTGCCTGAGACACACGGGAGCCTCACCTGACCTCTGTGCAGGGGAAAGGAGGCTGGGTTGGCAGATTTGGGGGTGCTGTCCCTGCGAGGGGTCGCTGCAGGGACAGCTCTGCCCTGTGTGGCACTTGGAGGGGGCACCTTATGTAAGCAGCGGTGGCAGCGCCGTGCCCCGGCCGTGCCACCCTGCTCTGCCGCTGCCAGGCCCTGCCAGTCCCCGCTCCCAGGGTCCCCTCTGGGTGCTGCTGGATCGCTGTGGGCAGGAGCACGACCCCCCTGTCAGGGCAAACAGCTCCAAGCCCAGGGGTTTGCCTCTGGGTTTTGCAGAGTTCATGGTTGCACCCTTCCCGGCGCTGGCTTTGCCATCCCCAGCCCTGGGGAGGTGGCACCAGGCTCAAGCCCCTTTCTAGGTTCTTTTCCACCCTTTGGCTGAAGTCTGGCCCTGTTTGGGTTTGGCAGTGCAGGGCAGGAGCTGGCTCACCTGGATGAGGAGGGAGAAATCATCTTTTGAGTGTAGGGACGCTGTGTCTCTGTCCCAGATCATGAGGCTGTGTCCCTCCATCCCCCTGCAGGCCCCTGAGTGCCCAGTGCATACCCAGCCACCTTCCCTGAACCTGCTGTGCCCGAAATGGAGGAAAAGAGAGAAAAAAAATCATCATTAATGGTCTCGGGAAGCCCCTGTGCCCCAGGGAGTGGAGCTCGGTGGGTGTCTTGTCACTCCAGCTCCACTCCAGCTTCTGAGTTGGGGTGCAAGGGAGAAAGGTGGGAGTGTGACGGCAGGGAGGGTCCCAGTGCTGCTCTGCACAGCTCTGGCTGACTCTGGGATTGTCACCTCGCAGGGATGTGCCCCTCTTTCAGCATTCCTGGCTCGTTCCTAGCTTGTTCCCTAGTTCCAGCTTGGTCCTGCAGTCCCAGCTTGATCCCAGTTCCCAGCTGACTCCCTGGTTCCCAGCTTGCAGTGAGGCAGGACTGCCGGTGGGCGATGGATTTCTTGCAAAGCTCTCTCAGATTCTCCCGTTGGACTTTTGAAGCATCTGGTATCACTATCTCAGCGTCATTATGAATTAATTACCATTAATTTCCTGCTCTGGTATCTCCCATTGCTGGAACCTTTAGCCTGGGCTTTTTTTCCCCTCCCCTGACATCCCCAAGCAGAAATGGCCAGATCCAGACCGTGCCTGCCAGAAAGGCAGAGAGAAATCACCTACCTGTGGGGACGGGGCTCCCCATCCCGCACCAAGGCAGGGGATGGGGATGCTGCCGGGATCCCGATGCTCTGGTAGCCAGGGTAAGGCTGATCCCAGGTGCTGCCAGCCCTGCCTGCCCACTTGCTGTGCCCCCAGCACATGGGATGGGCATTTTGGGGATGGGTGACCCGGGTGATGCTGGCTGTGCCATCCCTCACCTCTGTTTCCCTAAAGGGATGCAGGGCAGGTGAGGCCAGGGCTGTTCCTTAGGGGAAGGATCTTCCCTTCAGCTCTGGAAAAACCTGATCGTGGCTCCCCAGCTTGTGCTGGAGGCACCAGGGATGCTCCTTCCTGGGATGCTGTTCCAGGGACGCTGATCCCAAGGAGGCTGGGATCTGTCACAGGGATCCTGGCCTCAGGAAGGCTATCCTTAGGGGTACTGACCCTCCAGATTTGTGGGGATGGGGATACAGATGTAGCAGCTTGGGATCAGGGCTGGATGTTTTGCCCTGGCCGTGTTCATCCCGCTCCGTGAGCCGCCCTGAGGCAGGCCCAGCCTGGGAGTGCCAACCTGACCACCCGGCTCCTTCCCTGGGCTCCTGGCACGGGCGAGCCCTGGTGAGACCAGAGGCACTCAGTGGGATGTGGGTGCAGCCCCACCCCACCCCACCGCTTGCCCCATCCCCTGCCCCACGGCGGCACAACCCTCCTGTCCCCCCGCTCCTGTCCCCACCGCCGTGTGTCCCATGGCAGGGCCACAACAACCCAAGGGCCACCCCAGTGTCCCCCTTGCAGCCCTTGCAGCCTGGGCTGAGCTGGTGGGGTTTTCCCCCAAACTCCCGAGCCCCGTGGCTGGGGCGGGGTGGGGTGGCAGCCCCGGGGGGGCCGGGGACACCCCCGGTGTCCTACATCCCCAGAGCTGGCTGGGGCTTACGTAAGAGCCGTGCTGCAGTGCCTGCTCTGCTCAGCGCCAGTGCCACCGGCAGAGCTGCAGCGCCGAGCCCATCTCCCTGGATATTTGCTTTTTGGGGACAAGGAGAGGGAGGGGGACACCTGCAGGGTAGCTGAGCTTCAGGGAGTGGCCAGAACATGGAGGGGGTGGATGGGAGGGCTGGCTGGGCATGAGGTTGAGGTGTCTGCTCCCAGCACCTTCTGGCAGTGACCTTGGGGGCCAGAATTCCTCCTGGGTGGCAGCACCCCTGTGGAAGAAGGGCTTGGGGATGGGGACAGCAGAGAGTCCTAAGCCAGAGGTCAGGTTGGAGACCCTACTGTGCCCACAGTCCTGCCTCTACCCTCTCGGAGAGCACTGTGGAGGGGGGAAACTGAGGCAGGAGGCTGTGACATTCTATGGGGGGCAGCTACCAGGGACCCTCTGGATGGGGAGGGGATGGGGAATTACCATCTCCTCGGTTGGAGATGCCCCAGCTCAGCCCAAGCTCTGCCCCCAGAGGGCTGGCACAGGGCACAGGGACGTGCTGGCACTCGGAGCAGCCTGGCAGGGAGGTGCAGCTCTGGAGTGTGTGTGACGTGACTTGGGCCACGGGGGGACGTCAGGCTGGCTGCAGCACCTTCCTGTCCCCAGCCTGAGTTCCCAGGAGCAGGGAGCTGTGGGGAGAGACCTCCCTGCCAGGCTGTGCCAAGGCAGCAGACCTGTGTGTCACCAGTGTGCCACCAGCGTGCCACCAGCGTGCCACCGTGCCTGACCACTGCCAAGTGCTGGAGTACACCTGGGTCTGACCCAGCCCTGGGAGCCCCAGGGCTGTGGGTGGGCTCAGGGTGCTGACAGCAGCCCAGGGGCTCAGGGTGGCACCTGCCTGAGCTGAAATGCCACCACAGCCCCACTCTGGCACAGCTCGCTGGAAGCAGGAGGAGGGTTTGTGTCACCTGGTGGTCACCTGGCCCATGTCAGGGTTTGTGTCCCAATGGTGACCCGGTGT